AAAATATATATAATAGCATTAGAAAGTATCTGAAGTAGATTAGAACAAATTAAGCTAACTACAAAATCAAGCGTATGTGTCTAATAATTTGGTCAGGGACTGATCTAAGAAACGGGTTCCCCTAGATTTCTAACCCAAATACTTTTCGTTTCCGACTATTTTGTGTCACGATTATTTTTTGTCTAATTTGTTGCAATAATAAGTCTTGTTAAAATATATACATTAATTGTATAGCAATAAGTCAATGTCACAAGGTTCCAATTAGAAGGATATTAAGAAAAAATATAGTAGTAAGGAAAAGGTTAAAATAAAACACCTGTTACTTGATTAGCCAATTAACAAAAATTTCAGAAGCTTGGGCTAAGTATTCATAAAATGTAAAAATTGTATGCCTTTTTCATTCATGACTTAATAAGATTGGGTTAATCAAAACTATGCGGAAATTGTCAAGCATGTAATGTCTATGAAAATCATCGAAAACCAAATACATAGTAATTTATTAGAAAATAGTAACATCAAAATACCACAAATGTTACCTTCTGAGTATATTAATTTACATTTTTTTGGCGCCGTTTCTAAAATTTCAAGACTTTTAATATTTAGCCCATACTGACTATTCGCTGATTCTGATTCAATACGGAGATTCGGCGGAATGTCGGTTTTTGGTCGAATCATCAAAAGAAATTTCACGAATACAATGAACGAATTGTCAAACGAACCAAACAATCGCATCGATGAAACGAATCAGCGTGCAGCGACTAGTGAGCATGGGGCTTAAACAAATATTATTTTAGGATACTCAAGAACTATTATTACAGTTGGGAGTTGGAACCTTTGGTGTTACAACAGCAAAATAAAACAATAAATCACCACAATACACCAAAACACTTTTACTCTGGACGCGCGTTTCGCTAACCATGTTAGCATCATCAGCAGATTATTAAAACTAAACTAATATTTACAAATTGAACATTTATATACTCGCGCAGTTGGCTCCGAGTAGGCATGACAAAAACTAGCCATGCGAGTCATAACCAACCGAGAGTAACAATTAATAATTACCGAAACTAGAGCAGTAGGAACAGAGAAGTGGAAGGAATTGGGCCATTGTCTCTGTTCATACTATCTTTACATTTATTACGCTTTCATATGCATCCAATAGCCTATAATTTGAGATTTGTTTAATTAATTTTAAATTATTATTGTGGTGATTTAGTATTTTACTGAAGAACTACAAAACCGTAAAGTCTTGCCTTCCCATTCTATTTCATAACATAGAGACTTGATGAAGCAAAGTTCTCTTTATGTATTTTATGTGTTCTGGTGATTTTACGTAATTTTTAATTGAAAATAAGAAAAAACTGCATAATTATTTCAATTTGAATATCAGATTTTTTAGTGTTTATTACTGGTAACTAAAAGCTTCCCTGCTTTCATTTAAAGAACAGTCCCTTTTAGAAATGACAAAAAAAGATTTTATGGACTAATAAAGGAGTTCATATTTATATATATCATAGATCATAAACTAGGAAATATTTAGTAACCTATGCTAAAAACCTTGAATATATCGACCTATAAATATCATTTATTCGTAATGAATCCAACGATTTGTGGCGATGCAAATGCACAGCCATAAACAGCAAAATGTTAATGACAAACGATAAATGTCGATTTTGCGGACGACAGTCCTATATTTTCCGAAGTTTATTTACATATTCTATAAAACATCGCACATTCTCATTAGATCTCCATTTTCAATCAATTTCTGCCAAGAAAGGTAACGCAAACGTATATTAAAAAGCAATTTATCAACGTAAATTAAATGATTGATTTATGAATCCTCTAGCACATGATTTTTTATGTTACACATTGATTAATTATTTTTTATATGTATATTTTCCTTAAGGATCTTGCATCTTTAATGTAAACAGCGGTTGTGAGTGAAACCCACTTCTAACATGAATACGAGATTAGCTTGTTTTCTTTTGTATACTAAAGCAGTTGACTTGTTTTGCATCATTATATTTTTTTTGAAATACCAACGCAGTGTCTTTTTTAAAATATTTTTATTTTCTTATTTCAAAATTCAATAAAACTGTAAAAAACAAATTTAAAGAAAAGAATATATAATATTTAAATGTTGTAACCAAAGACTGCGGTTGTAACTGACCAATGTTTAGTTATTAAAGTAGGAGCATTTTTAAGCGGAACTTAACGCTTGTGTTGTAAACTGTTCTGATGAGGATATTCTAGACAAAAAGACTCAACAGATTTGCTTCCTTACTGAAAAAAAAACAAGTGTAAGGGCACAAACATAGTGAGGCATCTCGATGCGATGCTCGCCAAGATGCTGGCCGTGCTGCTCGCCAGGATGCTAGCCGCGATGCATCCAACGCGCACTGCTTTAAAACGGCGAGTAAGTGCGCGTAGGATGCCATCGCGACTATCGTACAAACATAGTGCAGGGCATTTCATCTCGACGCGATGCGCGCCATTCACCTCGCCTTCCGGCGATGCTAAATCTAACATGTACAAATTTATGCGTCAAAACATACTGGAGCCTCGCACCTCGCCACGCACCTATATGTTAAGCGCGATGCTTCCTAGGAAACAAAATTTTTGTTTTTTGCGAGAAGCGGACGCGGATGCCTGAAACTTTACATTTGATTGGTCGGTTTAGGATCACAATTCGTTGAGCATATGTCGAACTAGAGTCGGGTGGAATAAAATGTTCACAATACTAGTATTTAATTTATCACCAACAATGTAATCACCTTGATTCTTC